TGAACAGAAGTGCCAAGAGTCAAACTGCACTAAGCTCATCAGCGCTTTTTTTGGAAGGTTTCCATAATTAGCTGAGAGCTTGTTTGGGAAATCAAACACTTGTAGTTTCTCGCTGATGACGACAATTGAGATCAGTACATAAAGCAGAAGGAATTAGAGCGCAGATGTCGACCAGGGAGAGGGGTTCGACTCAGCGATTCGATTCCACTCGGACTTTTTGCAGGATTCTTTTGTGCACGTTTTTTTTTTTTTAGTGTTTGAGGATGATTACGTTAAAGATGATTAAGGTTAGCCATGGGTTTAGTGTACTAAAAAGGTCAGGAGTAGGACCTAAGAGACTACAAGCCAATGAGATGAGTGATTAGATTTAGATTTGTTTATACATGCTGCCTGACAGCCAGCGCTCAGAGCCGGTTTTTCCCATAAATTCTCCATCTTCCACAGGCAATCAGGACAACACAGAAAAACAACAAAGGGAGAGGGGGGGTGGGGGCAACCTTTCATGCAACAGGTCATTCTTTTGGATGTGCCGCATTTTCTCACAGCATATCTTTTAAATAGTTATGCAGAAATGTGACTGAAAGCTGCGTAAGAGTCCAGCCTGTTTCATGTGCGTTAAAGTAACAAAAGTTGATTGTGTTCATGAACACAATCAACTTTTTGGGATTTCCTTACCTGGATGGATTGCGCATGCATCGAGACATTTTAGCTCACTACCTGATGTTTAACTCACTTATTAACCTTAAACTTAATATTCAAAACTTAAAATTAAGAATCTTAGCAAAAGTAAAAAAGCAACTTTAAAATTTTACTTTCAAGTCCATTAATTATTTAATGAAGTATTTACCTGGGAGGTATGTGGGTGATTACTGCACATTGTTTGGTAATTATCAAACAAATGAAAAAAATAATAATTTTACTCAAAGAGTGTTACTTTCCAAAGCGAACAAAACTACTCCAATAAAATATTTTGTCTTACCTGTGACATTATGAGCTGTTTGTATTTAGTTGTACAGTCACATTTGTCTAGGTTTCATTGGAGGTACACTCACTAGATACTGTGTTTAGGTACACCTGGGTAGTATCAGGTTGGACCCCCCTCTTGCTTTCAGAAGTGCCTTAAATCTTGAGGTATCAGGTCTATTGGTGCTCTACTGGACTGAGATCTGGAGGCCGTTTGAGTGCAGTGAACTCATCGTCATGGTCTGAGCTTTGTGACACGCCACATTAATCTGCTGGAAGCAGCCATCATTGAAAGTGAGGCAATGTTTTGGTGGGAACATGAGAATTGCAGCATCAGTTTCCTGTTCTTAGCTGACAGGAGTGGTTATGGAGTGAGAGGTTTGACGTGCTGAGCATTCAGAGATGCTCTTCTGCATACTTAGGCAGCAGCAAGTGGCTGTTTGTTTACCAGCTCGAAACACTGTAGCCATTCTCCTGTGATCTCTGACATCAACGAGACATTTTCACAGAACAGCCGCTCATGAGATATTTTCTCTCAGAGACCATCTGGCTCTTAGGTCACCTTCCTCCATTCTGAAGCTTGGCTTGAACTTCAGCAAGTCACCTTAACTGTGTCTACATGCCTAAATGTACCGAGCTGCTGCAATCTGGCATCTGGCATCAATTCAGCTGTTAATTAGATATTTGTATTAATGAGCAGCTGAACAGGTGTATCTAGCAAAGTGGCCAGTGAGTGTATATTCATGGGTACAGTGTTAAAACCTTAGACGCAGTTAGCACACCACACACAAACAGCCTCACACTCACAGACATTAGTCCCAAAAGCTTTTTGGTTTTTGTCCTAAACTTTCTGTTTAGCTTTGCTGAAGGTGCCAAACCTGATTTCATTAGGTTTACACTGCCGGCCTTTGTCAGCACACGAATCTTCAGCCCCGACAAATACAGAGACACGTGTTAGCCAGGCTGTTTGGCTGCTAGCCAAACTGACAGTTGTTCAAATGACGACGGGGCTGAGAGTCCATTCATTTTCACTACTGTTGGTTCAGGAAGCAAAGCACCCACAAGACAAAGGACTTGGAGTTTTTCTACATTTAAACAAAATATAAATGAATCACTTGTGAAAATGAAGCCAAAACACTTCCTGAATAAACAGCTTTTAATGTGGGATGAACCCCTAACAAGGAATTCAAAATCAGGCATTGGGTGCAAAGAGCTCGCAAACAAAATTAGGAAACCAGAAATCAATGCCATGTTGACCAAATACTGTAATTGCTCTTTGACTGAGCCTATGAAATGGAGACAGCGGATAGATCAGATGATCACTGATATGTTTGGATGCTTTTCATATCAGGCAGAAAACTCTATTGATGGCCTCCATTAGCCATCAATGGAGTCGAACAAAATAGAACAAGTTAGGACGGTCGGGAATGGTCACATGGCATCTAGATGAACCCTTAATGTCAGCACACAGTCTGCACTGCTTGATCAAAACGGTTTGGAGAGAAGACGCATTACCCTTTCAGTAAAGAATGTCCTTTGCTGCTTGTAAAATATATGAAAGTGCTATAAAAACTCCCGAGTTCTTTGCATGCACAATCACAAAGGAGTGTCGGTGAAAATGGAGTCTCAGTGTGGAAGTGGAAAAGGTGACAGTGGGTTATTCACATTATAAGGAATTGCCTGAGTTGTTAATCAAGGGAAGAGGCATTAAAAGGGAAACATGGAGGACAGACACAAGACACTTACTAAACATTTGATTTTAAACATACTGCCCAAAATCATTCAAACAAAACTAACTTGAAGTGTTAAACTACTGATAACTACATGAGCACAAGTCATGGACTAACAACAGTGCAAACATCAAATATGGTAGAAAACACACGAAGAACTGCTGATTAGATGCGCTTAGTTTCTTACACTTTTGTTTCGTAGTCCTTCCAGGCTTTGTCGAAGGGCTTTTTCAGATCCTGCGAAAAAACAAAAGGAAGTATTAATTAATATAATAATTATTTTTAAAAAGTGACCAAAACCAGCAACAAGCTCTTTGAAAGACAGCGAGACGATCGAGGGTTGAGTAGAACATAGACGAGAAATAAACTGGGACGACATTTTCTTAAGTGGAGCACATGGTAACATTCAAAGCTGCAGGTGCTGAATGAACGGGGTAGTTTGGCTCTTACAGTCTATTAATTGTTTGGATCATTTATCAGAACAAAGCCTTTAATGCATCTCCATAAAAAAACAACAACAGACAAACAAAAAAACATTACTCTGTGGTTTTCCTGTGATTGGTGCTACTTTTGGGATCCTCACATACATTTAATTAAGAAAGCTGAGACCCATTGGGAAGTTACTTTCGGGCGTCACGAAGGAGAAGCCAAAAAGTTACAAGAAAGACTGAAAACAGGAGGAAACAGCTTGTGTTTATCCAAAAATAATAAAAGGCCTCTGAAGCTCATTAATATACTCGTGACAGCTGTTTAGTTTAATGAGTCCAAGTTGCTGCACTTTTGTGGGAAGTTGTCTACATCTTGGCCGGCCTCAGAGACTTAGTCAGAGGCGCTAGCAGGTAAATATATATATATATATTATTTTTTACCTCTCAGAAAGAGAGACTAGCAGCTTCTACCCATTTCTTGTATTTATGTAAAGCTTCTCAAGGTGCAAAGATTTTATTCACATATGACTTCCAAACACGGTTAATAAATACTCTTAGGTCCTCAACAATGAAAGTAACTGATAGTCCCTACATGTACACAATGAACGCAGACAAGCGCATCAAGCAGAAAACTCTGGATGCAGAATGACACAGCCTTCACCACGTCAATAGCAAAACATTGCAAAAAAATATAGCTAATCTATACAGCCGGCATTTGTCTCAACAGTGAGCAGGAGCACAAGGTGACTGTTTCTGGCATTCATAACGCAAATTCTCTGGTAACGATTTCTTGCCGTCGTGTGCTGCTTGAGCAAAACTCTTGATTAAAGCACCTCTTTGGTCCTCCAGTGCTGATTAAACAGTGATTAGGACGCACAAAGCAGACATTAATGGGTACAGCTGCCCATTTTATTCCCTAAAAAACAACCAATACACCAAAATCAACTGTTGTGTTGTTATGAGGAGTGGAGGGGGGTCAGGAGGCCAGGAAAATCTGCTGTACAGCAGAGAAAGAGAAAAAAACTAAAGGATTTAGCTGCAATTAAGCTGCTTTAATTCTTGTAATTAAAACATTACAGTGAGCTCACCACAGAAAGCCAAACCAAATCATGCAGCACTTTTCTCCACCTTGCTATGAATTTCTGTTGCCTTAGGTTTTGCTTACGGCTTCAGTGCCACTGTTAGATCTCCAGAGTGAGCTGATCCCCACCGCTGACCTCCACTTCAACAGCAGAGGAGTGACAGCCTCGACCTGTCGGCCCACAGGATCACAACATGGTTCACTGGGCCAATTCAAGGGGCAGGGAGCCATTCACTCATCCAGCTCAACGGCAGAAACCGCCAGAGAAAAGAGAGTATAAAAGGCTATAAAAATCCAACGTAAAAGAACAGGACTGCGGGGAAAATTGTCAAAGGGTAGAAGGAAGCCACTAAAAGAATGAACTGCAGGTCAAGAGAGCAAGTGAGGAAAAAAAGAGAAAAAAAAAAAAGAGGGTAAGCGGAAGGAAATGTCAGAGCCGGAGAGAGGAGGAAAAATGGTAACAATGGCTAAAAATACCAGACAGAGGCATCACTGGGCAGGGAAGGGCAGAGCAGAATAGGACAAGGCACAGGGGCAAAACACTCCCTCAGAGATATGCAGGCTTTTAGCACTCTGTATCCTGTCTGGCTGAATCTAAAGATGGAGAAGGCGACCTTTTACTACCCAGGACCATACAAGGAGCATACATGTGAAGGGTTAGCAGCTCCTGGAATACGTGCCTCACACCTTTTCCTACAGATATACTAAATGTGCAACCTAAAGTAGATCGGAGTCCTTTTCAAGGGCTCTTGATGAGAGGTAAGGGTGCCACTTGGGGAGTGTGGGGTCTATGTACACCCTGGCAGAATCACTACATGCTGCAGCTGTCAAAAACATGTGAAAAAAAAACAGTACTGTGGATTACTCTTGCTTGTGTTTGGGATCTTTGTGTGTTAGCTTATCGCCTGCTGCAAAGAAGACAGAGGGCACAAAAGACAAAGAACTACGTAGCATTTGCATTGGCTGGCAGCCCATAATCCTTCTATCGTCACAGCCAAAGATGGACAAAATAAAAGCATGTTTTGGGGGGGCCTATCAGGAAGAGAAACAAATGAAATGTTACTGTCATCATTTAACAGACTGGCTAAAGAATATTTAGAGAGAAAGGAAGAAAGTGTGAGCAGCAAAAAGACCCCTGAATGTCACAGCGGGATCTTAGATATGATCAGGCAAGAGTGGAGAAACAGAAGAAGGGATGTAATAAGATGAAACTCGAATGTATCAATGATGTGGAGGCTCTTAACTTTAAAACTTTGTAGAACTGTCTACTGACCTACTTTTTCCTTTTAATTTTTTTTTTTACAGAGAGGTTCAAAGAGGCAGGAAAGTAGGGAGAAAGCAGCGGGATGACTTGCAAAAAAATAAATAAAAATGCTTTGAGTTGAATTGATGCGAGGCCACCAGAATAATGACTAAGCCTGTGTTACATGTGACGTGGTGCTACGAAAGGGTTACTACAGCGGAGGTCCACTGGCACGTTAACCTACTTCCTTGTGCTGTTTTTAAATGTCTGCCAATGTCATTTTTAAAAGCACTAATGCTGCAGAGTATTTGGTTTGCAAACTAATGAGATCAGCAAACACAGATCAGCTCTCATCTAAAAAACCTCCAACAGCTAGCATGCGTGGGCGGTTTCGGGTGTTCACGATCCACTGAAACACAATAGGGGGGGGACACACAGCTGGACTAATATCCCTCAATCTAAATGCATTAGTCCACACTAGCTTCCCCCCGCCAATGCTCCAAACACACACACTAGGTTCTGCACCCCTTAGTCACTGGGGTTGAATACTGATAAGTTGATATGATTCACGGTGTGTTAGAGACCTCTCCATAAGCATGCGATGAGCGAGTAGACGGCAGGTATGATGTCATGCAGGCATCCACTCTCACAATTCAGTATTAGCAGAACAGACTGGTGAAATCAACACTTTCTAATTTCTCCTGAGTGGGAGTGTGTCTATCTCCAGCAATAACACTACTGGGCTTTCCACTGACCCTCACAGCGGCGTTCTTGTTGGTACTACAGTGAAAGGGCTTAATTTCATTACTGTGCAAAACTTCTTTAGCCACCACTAATTTCTTCATAGCAGCCAGACTTTCTTCTACTCATGTCATTTTTTTTCAAAGTGGTGTTGATCAATAGTTCTTCATGTTTTTTGAAACCTTTCAAGGTTTTTCTTTGGATGTTGGCCGATTTTTCATTCAGTCCAGTCCTTGTACCTGACCATTTTCTATAAGAAGGGAAACAGGGAAATAATGCTGAGGTATACCAAAACTTCCACGACCATCTGTAAAACACTGTCGTGGTTTGAGGTGCATTTTAGCCACTGGTGCTGGGAATCTTGTGAAAATTGATGGAATTATGAACACAGAAAATTGCCATCAGTTTTTAATCCAGCATGGAGTACCATCTGGAAAGCCTCTCACTGGCAGCACGAACACATTCATTTTTCAGCATCACAATGATCCCAGTAAAGACATAATGAGTGGAAAAAAAACACACACAGTGCAACACCATCAGACATGGATCGCCTCCCCAGAGAGCACAACATTATTAAGCAGTGTTGGATTATCTTGACAAAAAACAGAGCAAAAATGTCACTCAAGAATCTTGGAGAACTATTCCTGAAGACTACATAAAGAAATGACAAAAAGCCTGAGAGACTTCAGGCTGTGTTGAAGAATAAAGATGGTCATAACAAATGCATTTCACATTTTCCTAGCAAAATACGAAGAGAAGAAGGGTGTTGCATTGCCTTAAAATTGACTTTTACACATGAAATCTTGATTCTCCTTTGTGATAAGATGGTCGGGGTTTTTAATCAAGTAACAGCAGTGACAGGTTGTTAAGTGTTAGCCCTCTAATCCCAGAGCCATTAGCTGCTGCCTCTTGCAGAGTGAGTTCATTGCACTCATTGCTGAAGACAGCACTGGCAGAATATTAACAGGGTTTATGTGAGCACCGGTCACCAGAAAGCCATTAAATCCTGAATTAAATCAAATGTAAAGGCTGGTAACTACTGAAGCTGCCACACCGCAGCGTTGAACGTGGAGAATTTTAAGAGACCAAACTGCATTTTTGATCTGCACTGAACAGCAAGAGGGAAGTCCATTTCAAAATACGCAGCATACTTCTCATTTGTTGAGGTGTTACTGTTAGTTGCCCTCTTTTGTGTGTAAATTTTTGAGAAATGATCTGATCAAGATATACATTTAGCCTTAAATGCTGAGTAAAGAGTTACTGGCAGAAGTTAGGGTTAATCCTACCTATTAAAAAAAAGGGGGGGGGGGACTTATAGGTAAGACGGGCTTAAGGTGCTAAAACGGTAGGTGAGCTCAGATGTCTTATTCAGGACTGGTATAACATAAACAAGCATTATTTTGAACCCTAAATCATGCAAAGCCATTCTATTAAAGTCAAAGAACAAAATAGGGAAATCAGCACAAGTTCCTTTTATTACCTCAAGCACGGTCTGCTTTCGAAGCTACATTAATATAAGTGAACTCAGGTTTCCGTCATCAACATTTATTCGAGGAGAGTTTGATTTGCTTGTAAAATTGTTGCATATTTGTTCCAAAAACACCACAACTCGTTTAAAATGAGCGTACAAATGTGTAAATCTTGTTCCTGCTTGTGACTGGTGAAGTACATAATTCCCATCCGCATTGCAATGCATTCCTCCTCGTAAGCTCCTTTGATCTTTTAAATACATTACTCTTTAATGACATCCACATTAGCCAATTAATATATTATACTTCAGTTGTTCCTCTCCCTGTAGTGTAAACAGCCTGTCGTGCATGTCTGGACTTCTTCCTACTCCCCCACCCGCTCTCCTAACAGGTACTTCCCGTGGTAGTGGTGGAATAATGAATAATGAATGGCAATAAGGAAGAGACGAGGGAAAGCCTCTGGGCTGTGTAGGTGAGCAACAGGTAAACATTACTGTACATCTCTGTGACCTTTTCTCTCTCTTTGTGTAGAAGCCTAACTTCCAGGTTTAGTGACTACATCACTGGTGACATTTATATAAGTGTGTGTAAATGTGAGTGTGCCCTGAAGTATAAAATAACCAGCAGCTCATTAGTCCTTCGCCACTGGGGTAATGAGAATCATCTGTGGGCTAATGAGCAATAAGTGGGCAAGCATTGCGGAGACAACTGGCGCCCACAAGCCGGTTGGCGGTGCGGGCGGGGTGCGCGGTGGTGGGGGGGGGAGTGTCGAGAGAGAAAGGCGGAGATATCAGCAGAGTTAAAACAGAGACGAGAGGACAAAGGCAGGAAATCACAGAACAGAAAAGGAGATTGAAGCCAAAACGACAACACTTGAGGAAAGAACGCAAAAAAAAAAAAAAAAAAACGGGGGGGGGGCAGTTCAGGGGCCAGACAGCACAAAGTGGCCAGGGGTCATTGGGACAACTGGCTTCTCCATGGCAACCACCCTCATTAGAGCCGACTTAACTACATCATACCTCAGTGGAAACCAAATCTAATCATGTGCCTAGAGAGTGAAAGGTCACAGACCACTGTGGACAGTCTGATTGCATTACAGATTGGCAGAGACTGTTGATGAGTGTCTGTCTGGGTTTAGTCTGATTGGTGGACACACATGACCGTCTAGCAGACTGCATTAATACACAAGGCACAGGCCTGTCTATTAAACCTCAACACACTTTATTTCAGACCAAAGCATGTTTGCAGGCATTAAACATTTCCTTGCTGCGAGTCTTTGTGTCACCCCTCCCTCGCTTACTGCAGTCTCCAAACGTAGCACTAAAAACCTGCGAAAATACTGAGCTACGGTCTTTTATTCCCACCTTAATTTACCGCTTTTGTTTTGGTGGCATTTCACGGTTGTTTAGCTCTTCCCCCGATAAAGACGACATTGTTTTGACACCTCGTAAAATATCAATAAAGACTCCGTTTAAGGACTATTAAAATAGTTTCCAGGTTTTTCAGAGCATAGCTGCACAGGCAGAGACCACCCCAGCTAACTTCTGATGCACACACAGTTAATTTCCTCTATAAGAAGGCTTGAAATGTCACAGAAAGCACTAAGTTCAGAGAAGAGCTTCAGGGTTTGCTCCTAGTAGGCTTTCAAGAAGAAGAGTTCAAAAAAATATGACTTTACAGGAGAACATATTTATTATTCTATACCTGAAAGGACTGCAAAATTAAACAAACCGCCCATGATGGGCAGAAAACTGTTTTGCTTCTCCAAGCTAAACAAGAAACACAGTTATAGATTGAACCAGCCAAGCAAATGAATATCGTTTTAGATCTCACAACAGAAAAAGTGAGAGAAGCACTGCAGTAGATCCTGCAAACACATGCACAGTAACACGTTCTCAAACATTCATATGCTCCGCATTTCTATTCACGGCCTCTAAAAAGTAGCTTTGCATAATTCATGGTTCAAAATAATCTTTATTTATTTTCTGGGCCTTGTTCATCCTCGATCTGGAAAAAGTCAATACATTATTAGCTAGCGGCCTTCTCCCTTTAAGTCAAGTATCTGATTGGCCTCCCCTTGCAAACAAAGCATATAAATAGCATGTTTGTAAGCAGCTGTGCTCCTGAGAGAACCTTATTAAGAATATCTGCTCTCACTGGTGTTGTTATTTGCACGCTTGCTGACCTTATGGCCATTTTAATATGAACCTGCACCATTGTAGCAGCAATTAAAGACATTAATAAATAATCACTCAAGCTGAGAGATTGTGGACTCCATCCCTCATAGTTTTGCATAACTGCACAAAAACATTAACATTAATATTCATTCAGAGGCTGATTTTTTATTCTGCAGTTTGATGAATCAGCTCTGCTGCAGACAGGTATATTCCAGGAACTGCTTCATCCACCATCTCTCTCTCTGTGTTGCCAGCTCCACTTTTACTTTTTTGGGAACAGGAACGTGGTCTGAGATCAAAGCAGCGTGTTATTAACCTTGATAGCTAGACTGCAGCACCTAAAGGAGGGTAATAATTGTCCAGCAGCTTTGAACCACTCAGAAGGTCTCTCTGTACGTCTAGTGAGCCGTTTTCACTCTGCGATCTGGTTTCTTTGACGGATTAAACAACTGCAAGATGAATATGTTCATCAGCTGACATTTACATTGAAATTAGTGCAAGAACAACCCTTAGTGTCAGTCCACTATCGCAGAATAAGAGGTACTTCAGGGCATCATCCAAGAATAATGGCTTTAATATTTCCTCCTGTATAAAACACAGCACATGGAGTGTAACACAAAGACTTGCTGTTTAGTTGCCTTACCCCTTTGACACCCTTCAGGTCTCCTTTCAGCAGGCTGTCCAGAGGGAAGGTGATGATGTTGTTCATGTTTTGGAACTGGAGGAAGTTGAAGAGAGACACAAATAAGAGTCGAAAGGTTACGTCAGAGATTTTAAGACAGCAGGAGACTGAAAGTCACTGAGACGTAATCCTTTCAGCAGTGTCCTGTGTGCTGCGTCTCCTTGCAGTGGACATACAAAATCCAGAGTTTCAGCTCTTCATCTTAAGTAAATAATAGCGTTGAAAGGCTAATGCTGCGCAAATAAAGAAGCAACTAGCAGACAAATTGTAACACAGAACACGTCACACAGGTTCAGTGGAAACAGTCACTAAACACTAAAAATAAATATGTGTAAACATCTACTGCGACAGCATGTATACACAACTGGTCATGTTTTACAATAAAAGCAGTGGTATGGATGGTTTCTCAGTCAAGGAAGGTTGGAAATCAGCTGAATCAGGTCATTCGTTTTGTTATTCTTTAAGCCTGCATGCAGTATGTAGCATCTTAATGAAGATAAGGTCTCAGTCACACAGGCTTAGTTACGTGTTGGTGACCATTTGGCAGCAAAAAACTACTTGTGATAGCTTTAGTTGCTAGCAGGTTGCTGCAGTCGTCAGTAGTTTGCACAGAAGTCTCCAGATACTTGCAAACTACTTGCCAAACAGCAGTGAAACTGTGAAAAATGTCACGCAAACAGGAAGCAAATACTGTTCTCCTTCAAAATAAAAGTTGAAAATGTTCTGGTTGCAGCAGTGAGATAAATCTTTTACTTTGAAGGAGAATGCTCTCGATTTCTGGTTGGTGTTCCATTTTTTTCAAGTTTCACTGCTTCTCGGAGAGTAAACGGTGAGTGTTTGCAGAAAAGTCCTTGTACATGCAAACTATAGGCGATCACTACAGTCTGCTAGCAACCAAAGCAATCACAGGGAGGTTTTTATTGCAGCACGCTCTTTGGGACTGATTATACTTGCTAACCAGTCCAGGAATGCAGATTTTTTTCCTGGAAACCATGCTTGAGAGTCACTGACTTAGCTCTAGATTTGTGTGCTTGAGACCTGAATTGATCATTTGTTCAACTGTAGGAGATCCTCTCTAACACTGTCAGATCTTACTATACAAAGTGACTGTTATTGTGAATCGGTGGCATCTAAACAAAAGTGAATTGAACGAAATGCTATTAAGATTTTAGTCTGAAACGGATTCAGGAATCGTTAAGCTTGTGAGAAAACATCGAGTGAAGGTGCAAAAGGGTTAATTACACATAGCTCAGTGTCTTGGGTATAAAAATTCCACCACCCTTGGTATTATTTTCATTTTTAAATCACATTTCAAACTTGTTAAAGACACAAATTCTGCCTTTAACTCGGCTGTTTCCAAGCTGCTATAAAGGCCAGCCCCTACATGCAATCTAGGAACCCAGTGCTTTCTTAAGCTATTGGAGATTACATCTTCACATCCAGGTCAGGCAGAAGCTCATATTTCTTTAATATAAGACGCTGAGATCACACCAACACAAAATCTAAAGCTCCTGTTCTCGGTATGAGCTGATAAAGTGTGCGAGGGGAGTGACAGACCTCACAAGATGGAGTCAAATTTTTTTAATAAAGCGTTGGCTTTCACACAAGACCTGGGCTTAACAGATCAGGCAGCATTAGACCCAGGAGATATTTGGTGTTGCACTGGCTCTTCGGATGTCTTGATGGAAAAACTAGGGCTATGTCCTCAGGGTTTTAAGTTCAAGCTGGACTTTGTGTGTGATCAGTGTGTGTTAGAGAACACACACACGGTGGAATAAACACAATTAAGGACAGCATGAAAATTTGTCTTTGTCCCAGAGGACTTTACCCACCCACACATACAGCCACACAGTGTGAACTCACAAGGTTTTTGAAAAGCGCTGTGAGCTCCTTGGTGAAGACGGAGAACTTGAGAAAAGCCGAGCCCAGATCAGGATCGTCTCTGTACACACAGTTTTCTCCAAACTTCTCCAGGGCCTGAGTGTACTGCTCCTCATTTTCTACATGTGCTGAAAAACACACATATAAACACACAGATTAACCAAAGTCTTTTTCTCTCTGATCCTAACAAGTTAAAAGTCAATCAATAAGTATTAATAATGCATGGTGATAGTCTTCCAGTGTAAAACAATCCAGTTTCCTTCCATTACACGGTTTTCCTCACACGTCTATAGTAAAGGTGGTCAGCAGGGACGGATCAAAAGAGATACTCACCCCCAGCACAAACCATAAATTCTACAAATTAACCCTACATGTTGATAAAATGTTTCAGTCAAGTTATAGTTGCAATCATTTTTGGAAAAAAAAAAAAAAAAAAAAAAAAAAAAAGGGATGGGACAGACCAATGAGGCTATGGTGAATTATAGAGACCAACAATACAGGAGTTAATATTTGTTATGTGCTATAATAACATGTTTACGTGTTTGTGGTATTGCAAACAGTGCCCTCTGGTGGACAAACTAGTCAACATCCACACTCATAACATGGTTGAAGGGTGTTTCTCCAGTCTCTACTTCAGTTTTTTAAATTTTCCCTTTAATGACTGATATAACTGGCGATACCAATAGATGGACAAATGGCTAATATCTGCTGCCTGATAAATTGGTAAGACTCTATCCAGAGTAGTGCGTTTTCTTGGTAGGCTACAGTGTGTCTACACCCACTGGGCATACTCATATTTTATAGGTCGTACAAATACAAATGATGAGATAATTAGCCTAAACAGAATGATACACAGAGAGAGCAAATGTTCAAATGATATGCAATAATAATATTATAAGGCCAAGCGTGTGTTTGTGCTTTCGCTCATGTTTTTGAGAACTGGTCCCTATCTGAGGCTTATTTTTCAGCATTTGCTTTCATCTGTAGCAATGAACTCTTATCTTCTCCCCGCCTGCCATCTTTCCTGTTCCTACAAAACCGTCCTTTTCACTCGATGGCATCGATGGACTTGATTTTGTCTTCATTGTCTTCATGCTATAGACTGAACAATGTTGGGTGGGAAAACTGCAGTAGATCAGCAGTTTCTTTTATCGTTCTTCCCAATTTTGACACTAAAATTGACTGATGAATGCTTATTGTAACAACAAATGACAGAAATAAGGAAAAAAGGAAAACTGGTCCCTTTTAAATGTGTTACATATACTTTAGCTATCATCTAGGCAAGGTCTTTATATAATATTTTGCCAATCTTATCTATATTTTGTTGCCAGTGAGTTGCTTGTGCAGACCTGGGATGTATGTATGCAAATCCTGACAGTTAGTAATCAGCAAACCGCCAACTCCGGTTCACTGTTCACAGTTGTCCAAAAGCACGAGATTGCCACCAGGAAATATCCTAGCGCCCGTGTGGTGAAAAGGCTGCAAGAGAGACCAAGCTGGACTACTACACGTAATGTTAGCATCTGATGGTTGCCGGGCTCGGTCACTATGTGCCACAGTTCCCACTAAGCCGATATCCCAGCGACCCTGTGGCAGCACTGATCACCACTGATTGAACTGGTCCGGAGACGGCCCAATCTCAAGTTTTCTTTAATTTACTCAAATCCTCACTAAGGTTGTCAAAAAGAAAAAAAATGTATCAATACTCAAATATTAATAGAGAATAAACACTGATATTAAATTAAACAAGGTCAGGAAAATTCCCATTTCAATACCACTGAATAATTAACCAGTTATCAGAAATGTTAACCACAACAATTTATCCAAAGTTCAACTTTTATGCTCTTCTAACTTAAGTTGTTGTGACTTTAGGTATTGTGTTGTTGTACCCTTTGTTTATTATTAGGTTTTGTAAAGAAATGTTCATAATCTGTAAAATGAATGAAACCTCTGATGATAATCTGAAATTATTTTGTTAAATCTGGGGTGAAGCTTCCTTGTGGTATCGAAAAATGTTATTGAGTGTTTTCCTGGGTATATTGTGACAATACCATCGTGTCAAGCTTGCCATCCGGTTTTCAATGTAATCCGCAAGACACACCCAAAAGGCCTCCCTCATCTAATGCCGCCTGCTGCCCCAAAATCTCAGAGTGCGTCTAAAATCGGTTTAATGTACCACAAGGTTAGGCCTAGGAGATTCCACTTAATGCACTTCACGCCACACTAGGCTGCTGATAACAACCAATGCCACTGGGATAGCCGTGGAGCCAGGGATGGAGTGCCAGGGGACTGTTGCTATGACGACAACTTGCAGAGAAACGCAACAGAGGTGGAAGGAAGGGGGTGTAAGTAGGAACAACTGAAAGAAAAAAAACAAGGGGATGTGGTGGGGGGGTGTCTGAAATTGTGAGGATGCATGCCAAAAGACACCTGCAACCACATTATGACTCAGCTTTTAAGAGGTAACACACACACACACACACACACACACACACACACACAAAACGAGCAACTGCACAGATGTTCCAGGTAACTAGATAAGCTCACGTCTTGGCCGCTGACGTATCCATCAGGTTATTAAAAGGGAAGAGCTGAAAGCCTGAGTCACTACCTGCAGGCATGCTCACGAGACGAATCTAATTTAAGCCACAAAATATCATCTGACGCAATAACAGAGGTCGATGATAAGAAAGCTGCCGCGAGACTCACAAGGGAAGTGGCAAAATGAGAAGCCTGGCGAGTATGTGTTATAATGAGACTTCTCTCCCCCCCCCGTCTGTGGTCTGTGCAGAAATAAAAGACCTACAAAAATAAATAAAGGGGGAAAAGAACGATCTCATGTTTCGATAAAGTGATCAATTCTTCATCCAAAAAACTAAATAAATAAAAAAACCAAAAGCACCAAATCCTCTTTTACATAACAAAGACCTGCAGTGAGATGTACCACACAAAGATGTAGTAAACTTCAATCACCGTCATGTGTCAGAAACCGACCACTGCCACACATCCACAGCCCGCTTTCCAAATCCGCTCCAGCTGTTTAGCTCAGCCAGGTTTCGAGCCAACAGGGCGGGGTCCTGTTGTTGTTTTTGAAGTGGCACATGAGAGCCCTACTCAAAGCTGACAAATAGCACAAACCCCTCCAGGGCAGCTTAGTGATTACATGTGTATTTGTTGTAACATGACCCAAACATGTCGTGCATGCAGCCCCGTAGTACAGAGCAGAGGGCGTGTGAGTTTACGTGGCAGGAAAAAACCCAACAAAGGACAGGAGAGACATTTTCCTGTAGTTTACACTGCAAACACAACCTGCTAATTCCTTGTTTACCTGCAGATGTGTAGACACTGAGTAAACATTTCCATGAAATAACACTGGTGTTCCGAACCTCACTTAAAGATATGCAACAACAGAAAATGGGGAATTGGGATTTTATATGATTAGAGCTTAAAAGATTCATTGATTGTTGCATTAATAAGCTGATTTTACCTGATTTTTATTGTTGCAGATCTAAAAGACGCCGACTCAGGCTCTGACGAGAGGTTACAGGGAAATTTCTCAGAGAAGACAAACTCAGAATATAACAAAGTAAGAAAACACTAAATGAGCTACAATTAGTGAAGAGCTGTCAGGCTGACTGCGAGTTCTTAGTGATTCCTCAGGCTATTGCACAGGTATGCAAATAACCACAATTCAGCCCACTTTAACATAAACCCTTACCCTTCTGCAAAAAACTCAATGTGGGGAATGTTGTGCTTTTTTCTAGTCCGTATTTTTAATCTTAGTTTCTACTAGTGTAGCTTTGCATGAGTCACAGTTCATAATAAGTCATCTTTATTTAGCTTCTCCTGGTATCTCTGAAACAAGCTTTTTCGTGTTATTTGCAATAGATCATTAATAAGCAGTTTGAATAAACTGGCTGTTGAGCGTATATTGTCTCAGTAATGTATGAAGATAAGGAAAATAAAAGGATAGATGGTCCCCTCTCCTTTGTATAACTGAAGTCAGTACTTTCATCTTCCTTTGAGGGAAACTTTGAGAGTGGATGTTATTGTCTATTTAAAATCAGCATGAGAAATGGCTTAAGAAGTCAGCTTGAAAGTAAATGGCAGCGTATTGTGCGTCAAAGGGAGAGAAAAGGATTCCTGTTGCTCAACCTCAGGAAATGATAAAGTTGCATTCACTGCAAGACAGAAGCCTGCTCACGCCTGTGGCATTCACCGCTGTATCTTTCCTCCTAAGCTTACAAACACACACATGTACAGCTTTCCAGGCGTCTGCTGAGGATTATCTTACATCCCAAAGGCTTGTTTTGCAGCCTCTTCCATTTCTCTCCCACACATGCGGGATTTAATCACCAGATAGCAACTTCCTCTCTCCGTCTCTCCCACACAGCTTCGTAAGTCCGGGTCAGCTGACGCTCGGCGACACAATGCGCCGGTGACCTCCGATCAATTCCAGATCTCTCTAAGGACTCAATGAAAACAACGCTGAGTAAAATGACCACAAGCACACAGAAAAGGAAGCCTGACTATTAATCCCACGGGACAGAGACAAGGAATCGCAGAGGCATGAGAGACAATCAAAGGAGAAAGAAAACTTTCCTTAAAGTTCAAGTTTGATGTTTTGCTAAAACATTTTTTTTGCAAATTCCTGGAACGAGGACAGTAAGTGAGATGACAGTGAGTGAGAACATGTGCTATAGTACAAATCCAGTTAGCTTAGAATGAAAACAGAAACTGGCGGGGTTAGCTCGGCCAACTTAACTTTGTCTAAAGCTACATTTCTATGCAAGCCACTGCACATGCAAATAATTTATTTTACCATTGATATACATATTTATATATAAACATAAATAAATATCAATTATGTACCCAGCAGCTTAACCAGCTGCAAACTCCACCTGAAACCTTCAGTCTTGCAAAGACAACGTTATATTTTCTAAATTGTATTTACTAAAATCTAAGAAACCGCTTTACACAAGTAACATGAGCTCTTTTTTGAGTCCTCTCTGCATTCATTTTAGTTTCTCCTCGGCCCATTTATCTCAGACATTAATTAAAGGTAATCGTGCTAAAAGTTTATGGAGAATCTCGTTTTCTCTGCTACCTGCAGACACATGATCAACTTCAGTGTTTCTCTGATGCAGCGTGGTCTGAGTTCTGCATTATATTCAGCAACTAAATGTCCTTCCCAGCTACAGGTACATCATCCCCCTCCAGTTATTCTCTGTTCAGCAGCTCTGACAAGCCTGTCCGAGCAGCTCTGCGCGATCAGCTCCTGCTCCTTCTGAGGTCTGAGATGCTGCTGCTGGTTTATTCATCAAAACCCACATGCTGACACCTTGACAGGTCTCTGCAGCAACACAGGGTTCTCCTGCTCATTTAAAACCACTCCACCTTTCTCGCTCCCTTTCCCATCTTTTTCTTTATCCACATTACAAACTCACCATGCACGCTCAGCCTCTCAGATTTTCCCCGAGATGGTAATTCTTTTAAAAAAATCGTTGATTTGACCTCAATACAGTCTCTAAACATTCAACATTCCCTCTGCTTACCCAGCTCCTCTTTCTCCTCATCGTTACAAAACGTTATTTCTCAGCCTAAAATATCTTTGCAGAATTTTGGAAGAGTCAGTCAGCCATAGCAGGTGCTGAGGCTCCCTGTTATGTGTCACATTACTCACACTTTACCCACAACACCTTGTCTGGAGAACATTAAGAAAACTCAAGTGATCCTTTTTCCTCTATATTTATGTTAGAGCTTGGCTTTAGATACAAGTTGCATGGTGTCATTAACCACTTACAATCTAATTAATCTCAGCTGGTTTTAAAGAGCCAATAGGATCATTTTTGAGTGTATGTAGCTTGTTTCTGCAGGTAAAAGGGTTTGCAAAGCCGCCCACATGAACACTGCTCCTAAACAGTCGAGGGATTGTTTATTTACGGCGCTATGTAACCCATTTACATTACACTGATGTGCGGGTTAGTTTGGCATGCTGTCAAACAAACAAGGCGGCGCTGCCTTGCCGTCCAACTACGAAATATGCAGCCACTAGCGAGCAAGCCGAGCTTTCTGTAGACGGCTGCAGCAGCAAAGGAAGCAGATCGCTCATATTCTAAATCCTTAGCATTAGCCTGCCACCCTGACGTGACAAACATTAGATTTAATGATACCGAGGTCTGTCAGACTTTGGGATAACACAACAACCTGGCAACGCTCATTTGGGACACAGGTGTGCTGAGTGAGGAAATACACACTGTTGGGTTGGTCACCTGAGAAACATAATAGTCACTTTTCTGGTTTTCTTGTTTTGATCACCACCAAATCCAAAAGGTAATTATCTGGCTTCACCTGCAACATACTCCACTATATTCCCCACATAGCAGCTAAATGTCTGTATACACTTAGCTGCTGGGCAGGGAGCACACTGAGCCACAACAGAGGAGGTCTGCAGCCGCCTAATAATAAAAACAAGTGCGAGTTAGCAAGATGTAAGCGACAAAAAGCCTGAAGTGAACTGGCAGATAGTAATTTAAACTGCCCTTGGCACAACACTCAGTGGATGTACCGTTATTATAGAAATATGGATCAATAAAACTTTAAGTATAAGATATGGCTTTTAATTTAGTAGCCTGTATTTGGAAAATATACTAAATAACTGTCATTACTGTGTTTCCATTTAAAAATGCGATGTACTCGGCACATGAGGATCACACAGACATGAAACTGAAATCCTCTGGGTTATACTCAAAACACACTGGTGTCTGGGCTGCTTCTCCTTGATAATTGCTGATAACAAAAGGTGACCTCCATTCATGCGAGCATAAATAAGAGCATCCCCTGTGGTATTCCTACAGACAAAGCAATGTTTCTACTCCAAACATTTATAAAAACCGTCTGAAATGCAGCAACGTCCCAGTAAAAAGATTCAAATGAAGAGCCTACGGCAACATTTTGCAGCTTATACGCCTACACTTTCACCTGCATGTAAGATCACACGGGACTGAAAAGTGCTGGACGTTATAAATGTAAATGCATGTTTAAGAGTGACGTGAGAACATGTGTGTCCATGCCTCAGCGGCCACATACAAACACAGGCTGTGCCCCTCCCCAGCTGTTCCTTCCGGGGGTCTGGATCAGACAGCTGTCCCTCCTGCCTGAACAGAGCTCACACTGTTCTGAAAAAGACGTGCTCAGCACATTGTTCAGAGGTCTCTCTCCCTCTCTCTCCATTTCTGCCTCTCAGCAGGGTTCTGTCAGGCAGGCCAAACAAAAGACACTAAAAAGCACCCAACACTGGCACAGCCAGGCATAATGAGCATGGTAATGACACACACACATACACAGGGCTTAAAAGACAAACCTCTCTCTCCCCCTCAAAGACAGAGGATATACTTTCTTTTAAAATCAAACAGAAAATAAAGACCAAAGGAACTGAAAAAAAGCATTTCCAGCAAACCAACCTCTTAAATATTTTTTTACTAAATAAAGATGTAGAAATATTCTGCTCACTGCACTCCAACAAGGAGTCTCCTCCTAAAGGAGACTCAAAAGGTAAGACATAAGCATCTAGTCTTACTGCAAATTAACTCTTTGCTTCAGTGCTGGCATGTTAAAATGGTTCATAATATTTGAATCATGCAGCATTGTTCTTTCAGTAATGCAGAAGAGGCCGGCGATCTGCTGTGGTGATGGAGCGTAGTCAAGACTCACCTAGCCCAGACGTGTAGATGGCTTTCACAGACTTCTTCATCTTGTACAGCACGCTGCGATCCACATCCAGAGCCTGGACAGACACACAGAGAAGAGCACATTAAGAAGTCAACGTTCAACTTCGTGCAAATTTATGGCGTGAAAAAGATGGCGTATGTTTAGTCTGCATGAGGTCTTTACTCTTCTTCCAAAGGTAAACTCAGTAGGATGTAGTGCAACAGTGTGCACAGAATACAGAAACACCAGTCTGTACGGTGCTTTTTCCTGTGAGGTAGATGGACATCTCTGAATCGCTCATATTTGTGTGGAGATTTTCAGGTTTTGCAAGCAGCCATGCTTTGCAGTAACACAATGTACCACCTTTATTAAATGCGTACTGTTAGATAGTTACCTCCTAATCCCAGATTGTGCTTCTGCTCTGAATTGTAATGAGGCGTTGAGTGGTTTCAGTTTAGTCCACAACCTCAATCCACGCCTGTGTGTGGTCGCTACAGTTTGTGCGTTTCTAACCCACCGATGTGGCTCCTAGCAATGCATTATTCAAGGTAAAGCCAAGAATAGACCTGGGCTCCCTCATTAGTCAGTGTGTGTGTGTGTGTTCATCACTGTAACGGCTCGTAGGGCAAGAGCAGTGAGTAACTGAAGTCCATTGCAACAAGGGCATTTTCCCCGCAATGAATATATACACAAGTCTATGATTAACCAAAGTCACACACACATGCACGCACACACCTTCCCTCCAATGCATTCAGGCCAGTCTCACAGAGAAAAGCTCACACAATGCGCCACTGTGTCAGTGATGACAGGAATCTTTTGGGGTGAGGGGGTTTTTAGGAAATTAAGTTTTTAGAGACTTTATTAAGTATGTCCGCTTGACCAGGGCAAAGCCGGCGCCACTTTTCTCTGCCCCGCTCCCCGTCTTACTGACACCCATCAGATCCCCTCAACTCCCTGAAAACAAAAATAGACAATGACTCCCATTCAGCAATGTACTCACACATACTTCACACACACACGCACTTTTTCTACTCTGCAATTGCACAAGATGCGATGACAAAACTTATTAAATCCATAAATCGTTTTAATATCCAGGCTCCGAGATGCTGAATAACTGCTCAGCACGTCGTTTTCCCTGAGGTCACATCTCACCCACACTAACAGAAAAAGAGGAAGCGATGAGAGACTTTGAAGGGAAAGTGACAGATAAATTAAATGGCACTGGTTGAGGGACAGACAGAATAAAACACAGAGCTCAGAGAAAAGACAAGAACATTCACAATGTCCTCTTTCACTCTTCTGTCAGCACGGGCTCACAGAGGCCACCTATAAGGGTAAAGAGGGGGGACCCTGTCAGTCTGTTAGGGGATACAGTTACACTCATGAAAGAGGGGAAAAAAGACTAACGGGGTGTGGGGGATCAGTCTTGAACAGAATGATGAAACTTTTATAGTTTAACAGCAGTTTAATGAGTTTAATGAGCTATGACATTTACACTACTTCAATGTAAAATCGGTGTAACTTCAAAAAACTGTAAATAAAAAAAAATGGATAGAGAAACCATGAAACTAACAACTATTATGGAGCTGCCAGGTGATGATTTTAGTCATTGCCATCTTATGTCACGCAGGCTGTCACTATGTTAAATTGGACGCAAAGAGCACCAAAAACCTCCTTGTGCTTTCCGGCATATCACAGCTGCTTGCCAACTAGTCTGCAAACACTATCCAACCACTTGCCGAGCAGCAGTGAAGGCAAAAAAGGCAAAACTTTTACTTTCAAAATACATGACTGCAGCTTTAGCAAACAGCTTCACAGAAGCTGTTAGCAACCACTCACAAACTGGGTGGAGGAACTGGTGACTGCCAGTGGACTCCCCACTGGTCTCTATGCCTGTAACTAAGAGTGGGTTTGACGGAAAACCAGAGGGATACAACTTACCATTCACAAGGTCGGCCATATGAGTCGAGCCGAGGAGTCTTTTACAATAGGAAATCTCTTTTGAAACAAAAACAGTCTACCCCTGATCACTGGAAAGCATGCTAGCTTAAGGTACTTTGGCACTGGCGTGTTTGATGCAAATCACTAATTTGCAGATGAGAAAATTAGTTAGCAGATCAGCAGATTAGCAGACTGAGGATGGAAACATAGCAGGAAGATTATTTCCCACATCCATCATGAAGCAAAAAGAAACATTACCCCAGCAGGAGAGCTCTCAATCAACTTCACTCACTTTTAGTGATGAAAGATTTAACCTTCCCTTATTAGCAGACACTGGTGGGCATTTTCCTGTTTCATTACTCTCTTTATTAACTTCTTAATAGTTTTTTTTTTTTAAATATGTGCAGAACTGTTAACACAAATGCTAAACTAATAAGCTACATGACACACTCCTGCCTTTGACAAATGCATTTAGTCTGCTCATTTCAGCTGAAAAATACCCCGCGGTCACGCTCACCTAGCCTTGACCCCTGAAACAGCAGCACATTATCCGCACTGTCAACCTCTACTTGGCGTTTCACAGAAGACCAAATCTCTCCCATATACAGTTCAGGCATTTTTCATGCTGTGAAAACACAGGCATGTGCAAAGTGCTAATATTTCAAATTTCTAAATATAACTGCTTTCCCCCCCTGAACATATGTGTTTATACAACTAAGCTTCCAGACAGCAGCGTCTGGTAACAGTAACATGTGCTAAAAATAAAATATGATGTATTTAACCAGAGGAACTGTGCAAATTAAAAGAAGCTTTTGCATATAAGTGGGACTTACAGTTCTGTGGTTTTAGTTCCTTCAGCTACCGTTAAATGACTCATCTGTAACATATGCCATTATCCCATTAGCTCTGTCTGGCTCAGACAGACTCTGCAGCTGTAGCTCTGACTGAGCTTCAATCGGAAAAAGGACTGAGGAAAAGTACAGCTTTCCTACAAAGAGTATCATCTCTGCATACGCCGCCAAACCAATTCAACTACACAAAGACTTTTAACCCAGAGCGCATTTTTTTAGTAGAGCTAATCTCACCTGGGGCTTGCCTTTGTACATCAAGTCTACTCCAAGTGCTAAGAACGAAAGCCATAAAAGCACTCAAAGCATTTCTGCTGGTATCTGAGCTTCTGCGAGAGTGTAGAAGGCTTCCAGGAGGATCTCATTGATCCCCTCTTCAACATAAGGTGGAGTTAATGATTTTCAGGCTCAAAACATATCAAACATAGTGAGGGGTTGGCGCTTGAGGCGATATGATGTGCAATTTCACAGTTACCCTGTAACTCTCAGGGTGTCATAAAAACTCCCTCATGTATAGCTGAATTCATTTAAGCTAGCCAGCAATTTCAGAAAAACATGCTTGAACCTTTCATCTGCTTATTGATCATCTGAGGTTGAGTGTGTTTTGGTTTGGAGAACGAGAGGTCAAACAGAGGTGAGCTGCGGAAGCTAACGCATGTGGCAGAATTTTACAGACGAGTTTTGTGCATAAAAAAATAAATAAAATAAATCATCTGTGTATGTTTAATTCATAATTTTAAAACACAAGTGCAAAATGTGTGCTGCATGCACTGAGATAACGGTCAGGTGCAAGCTCACACAGCTCCAGTTAAGCTGAACAGCGAGTTCTATAACAAGAGATAAGAATGATATGTTAAATTTAAAAAAAAAATACACGACACAAGACGAGGTCGGTAGTCATGGAGCACCCTGACTCTGACTCAGCGGGACTCTCTGGCAATAAAGTGCATGTTTTCATGGAGGACGACGAGCCAAATGGATCAGATTTACCGCAATCTGTTAGTTTTGTGACTAAAGATTTTGGTGCATATGCTGTATCAGAGCAGTCAGATGGCAGCTATGTGTTCTGCATCAGTATCAGCAAACAGCCTCTATGTTAGAAGTTATTTGTCAACTACTGCAAACTACACAGGGAAACACTGACATTCAGGCAACATTGATTTCAATGTGACCTCATTTCCCTGTGCAGGTTGTAACAGTTGTGATGAATAAAAGAGTCCAGCTTTGTTCACATAAAGCAGGTTTGTGTTGCAGTAGGTTTACAATGCATATGCAAACTGGGTGCGCTGGTGGATGCGGCACTATCCCAGAATACATTTCACTACTCACATGCTGCCTCGTGTGCTGCAATTGGCTAGAGTCTTCTCATTCTTGTGGATATTACTTTGACATGCTCCCCAAACAGGTTAATGGGACTCCCCCATGACAGATGCCTCCAGCTGGAAGAAAATGTGCCCTACCTAATTGCAAAACTAGCCCAGGATAAGCTCCAAGAGTGCACGATTCCCTCCCCACACACTGGGTCAATGACCTGGTGCCGGAGTGCGATCCGATGGGTCAGAGCTATTTTCAGTGGCACAATATTAAACAGCCAATTTTTATGTTCTGGCTGCTCAGCTGTCAATACTTTGCTCTCACAGACCGTTACCTCTAAACCTCTGGTTGACCTCTCTCATAACAACACTAAGTGACGAGTCCAAGGCTTACATGTACATTGGAACAGGCATCTCGCCTCCCAAACACACAAGGTGTCCCCCGCTCAAGCACAAAGCACACCATCAATCAGGACAGAGTGGTCTGACAGGCCAGCAGGGTAATAAACCCACCAAACACACTCCTCTGACTCATTCTCACATGACCCATCAATCACTTTCACACATTTGCACTCCGATGCACCGCCCACATTTGAGCATAGCGCGACATTTTGTAAAAACTTGTTTGAAGCAGAAATGTAACCCAGAAATGTATTCACAGTGCGAGGGGAACTCCGCGGTGTTGTAATATTTCATCAGCCCAGGCTCCGAGCTGAATCCACACACACAATAGGCCTCGTCACCCGGCCTGGAGCTGCTTCACCAGCCAAATTTATGTGACATTTCTGCAATGTCAGCCGTTTTCTCCTCCCTGTTAGCAGTTCACAGTAAACTAACTAGAAGCGCACTTTTCTCCCATCTTGTGAAGGATCAGAGACCCAATCTGAATTCCACTGATAATCATCTTAAAGGCATGACATCAGCATCATCATCGTGGTGATTATAACAAAGCAGCATCTGCTGCAGCCGATCTG